TTCATCGACAAGGATCGAAATCGAGGAGAGAGCGAGTGTAGCAGCTGAGATGGGGCAGAGACAGAAGGCATAGCAAACCTTCTCCTCCTGAACGAGGGCATAATCGCCATGTTCCTTCTTCCAAACCCCCTGAACGAACCTAGAGAAAACACAAAAGTAAGCACGATAAAATAAACCAATTCGAGTGCAACACCGACCAGAAGATGGAAATTACCTATTGAGGGGAGGGCTGGTTTGAACTTCTAAAAAAAGCTCAGGAAATAACGAATCCCCATGATACAGGGGAGAATTCGCTTGATCCTAGTCGGCGAGATGTGTCACCAACTGAAGAGGTCGACCAATAGTTGTAGAAAAGGGAGGATTATTTGACAAGATCGAAATGAACAAATATTTGAGAAGGTAGAAGCAAGAGCACGAGCACTCACGAGTATGGTTCGAACCTGTAACATCGACCACGATGGCCTCGATCTTAACAAAGAAATAGTCAAGCCAGAATTTTCGACTACCTTTATCATCCATTTTTACCACCAAATATTTGCCCCCACGATGTAGAAGGTTCAACATTGTTCCTCGATAAAAGTTGGGTGCAAATAAATGCATCAAGTGCCGCACCGTGAAGTCACATCCAGTTCGACAAACTTCGATAGCATTTTAATCACTTTGTGAATGTAATGAGCGAGTTGAGTAGGGCAAACTTTATAATGGCGGAAAAACTCCTCCACCAGCGAAAAGAGGGGGAATGAGTAGCCGATGGCGAATGGGTAGGCATAAAGAGCACAGTACCTAGGATGGTGGACGTGCATTTTGCCATTATTAGCAGGAATTAGCTCTACATGGTCGGGAAGGCTAAACTTGGCTTTGAATTCAGCCAAGCGCTTTTCATCACCTCTCGTGGTCGTTGAAGATCAGGTTTAGCATTAGGGTTACGGGGGGTGATCTCCTCCACTAAAGGGAGAGCCTCCTCTTTGGCGGCGGTGATGGTATCTTCCCCATGAACAGGAAATACAACAACCAACAGAATGGGGTGGTTCTCCTCATTCATATCAAAAGGAATGTTCGACATGGATATGGAAGCTGAGAAAAGTGAAGAGAGTAAAACTGGAAATATGAAGAACAATTATGAAGCAAGTGAAGAAAAATTCGAATGAGAGTCTAAAGAATGTAAAGTTTGGGTTTTGGTAAAACAAGCCCTAGTTATAGAGATGAAAGCACTGAACCCGAAATGATTCATCATGATTAAAACCAAAATCAAAACAGTAGAGCAAATCAGAGGCCGGGTGAATCAATGCAACGCACCGGGAACATGTGTCATTATGATGAATGACATCATGACGTCACATTTTTTCCTTGATAAGATAGTTCCACTAAATCACCCGGGAAATTTAAGATTTGAGATATTCGGTCCGCGAAATGCCACGTCACTATTTTTTACAACGACCACGACCGTTGTTATCTGTTTATTGAACTCGCCCACGAGGAAGATCTCAACTAGCAGAGGCACTAACTGTATGGGCTAAAATTACCATAATTATATGTGGACCAAGTCGACATTAAGGAGACCTTTGAAGGCTGCTACATGTCGTCAATAGGATATAATGACTTGGCTTCAAAAGATCGATGTCATGAGAAAGAAACATGTCATCGACAAGGTCGAGGTGGCACAACAAAGGACGAAGATGAGGACGAGCACTCCCTTTATTAAAGCAGTAATGACTAGTTTTGTGATTATGGTTTACCAAAGAAGATTACAGTGAATATTCCTCCCAGTTGTACTATTTAGGAATTTGTGGCCCATGTAATCTTATAAATAGAAAGATATGTAGTTCTAGAGGGGATTTTGGGAACATTCATTGTAAAGAAAGAAGACATTGACATTCTCTGGAGATTCTTCCTGTATGTATACACACACACACACACACACACACAAAGCTCACATTTTTCTCACATCTTTATCTACCCTTTCTCCCACGATCCAAGGAGGATCCGAATATTCAAAGACTTATTATTATCTATCCTTGTCAGAAGAATTATTGAGGAATCTCACCCTTTTCGAGTGACCTCCACCCATTTATTTATTTAAATGCTATTTATTATTATTTATTGTTATTTTCCATATTCTTGAATCAATGATCATATCATTATTGTTATCATTTATTTCTACTCAATAGCAAACGCGAGATCCTAGTACGAAAACATTTGGTCTATTTTTTGAATATTGATATTGGCTAAGATTTAACCCTACTTTATTATAAAATCTGAGTGTATAAACATATATCTAAATTTTGGGTCATACAAGTTGTAGTTAATAAAAGTTGACCTAAACATGTAAATTTGTCTTGAAGGGTGAACATCAATGCTATATTACATTGATCTATACTTAAATTCTAACTAATAAAATAACTTTAATTTTCAAAGATAATTAATTTAATTAAGTTAATTGGATACTATTTATAATTATATTTATTCATTATTCAAATCTCAGTGTACAAATACATTGTAATATTATAACGATCGTCTCACCAAGGTCGTGATGGATCTAATTCAACCTACTAGACGAACCAACTAGCATAAATGACAATTTCTAATAGCGTACATCAACATCAGAGATGATAATATAACACTTAATCTATAGTTGATAACACATGTACAAAATTAACCAAAATACCCCTAGGAATTGGTGTCACAGTTTCATTAGCCACTACAATTGAATCAAATACAACTATCTGAGACATAATACATGTATTGTCTGAATTAAAAACAAACTATAATAGAAAGATAAATAAAGGTGATTCCAAAGCACTGCGGATCGATCAAGTAGCTCTACCTTGAGACTCCAAGCAAGTACTCCTAGATAGTCTTTTAGGTTCGGTCCCACTAGTACTAGGCTCAGAACCTGTAATAAAATATATAAAAGTGTAGTATGAGTTAGACTTGTCAAATGGGTCAGGATGACCCACGAATCAGCTCACATAACCTATTAAAATGGACTCCTTAATCGACCACGACCTACTAAACCTTAATCGGAGTAACATGTAATGACTCAACCAGTTATTTTGAGTTCTAGCATTATGTTCTATGATTTAAGACTTTGAGTAGGTTCATATGATATTTTATCACTTTTTACTTATGGTTGGATCGAGTTCCAAAAGGTTCGTAGTGATTTGGAACACTTAGTTCCTATCTAGAAGCCTAAAAGTTAAGAGAGTTGACCAAAGTCAACATATTAGGTAAATGAGTTCCTCTTTCTTATTAGAAGGTTCCAATAGGTTCATATGATGATTTTGGATTGGGACGTATGTTTGATGGGGTCTCAGATGGCCCGAGAAGAATTCATCATTATTGATTAATAATTGGCAATTTGAAGAATTTAAGAGTTCATAAGTTTGACTAAGATTTAACTTTTATGTTATTACGTCTTGCTGCATATTTCGAGCCTTCGAACAAGTTCATATAAGGTATTTGAACTTGTCGGAATATTTTGGAAGACTCGCGAAGGGCTCGGGTGTGATTCAGACGTATCTTGTGAAAGTTAGAGGTTGGAGGACTTAAGAAAGTTAATGATTTTGATTTGATGCTTGATTATCAGTTCTGAAAGTTTATATAAATATACGGACTAGTTAGGATGATTTGAGGGGTCCTGAGAACCTCGAGTGAATTTTATGGTAGCTTTTTTTATCAAATCTAGCCACTTAACAACTGTAGATTTTTTACAGTAGGAGTGTAAATCGCAATGATGATGGTTAGGATATTGATCATAAAGAGTAAAGTAGAATTTGGGATTTTGTCCACATATTGTTCTCGGCGATCACGTAGAATAAATTTCTGCTGACAATGGTCTGGCTTTTGAAGCTTATATCTATCTACAAATTTGGGGATGATCTAAAAATAAATGTTGTAGTCCTTTAAGCCTAATATCTAAATATTTAAATAGTTTGTTATTCCGATATTTGTACAAAAGTTATGGTCATTATACTAAAGGTAGTGGTACAGAGTTACACATTGGTGCATCGCGATCGTGGAGCTTCTTGGCCGCGATAACGAAGAATATAATAGCGTTGGACACTTTGTGAATCGCAATCGCAAGTGTAGTGACCGCAATCACAAAGAAGAGCTACTGCTAGGGGGTATAAAACGTCCAATTTCGGGATTTTGTCCTTATTTTTACTATTTTTAAGTTTTGGAGGACAGGAGAAGACAATTTTGAAGAGGGGTTTCACCTGAAACTTGAGGGGAAGTGTTTCTTACTTGGTTTTGATTATATATCATGATTACTTGTGGATTATTACACCTAACTCAAGGATTTATAGAGTAAAAAAATGAGTTTTTGACTTGAAACTTAATAAAGGGTATTTTGAGATACAACGTCGATTTGGACTCGAATTTAAAAACAATTACATATTTGGACGCGAAAGGTTATGGTTCACGGGGATTTAGTCATAATTCTAGGTTTAGACCAAGTGAGTAATGTTATAGCATTATATTTACAAATATTAATCCTTTTATCAAGCATGCAGTCGATGATGTTCTTACAAAATATGTACTTTTAGTTTTTAATAATTAATTAAAGTAAAATATTTTCATTTTAAAAAAAAATATTTCAATTATTTTACAATATTGCTTACAAATATATGATTAGTAATATATATATATATATATATTCAAGAAATAATATGAATCTTAAATATAAAATTTAATATTATTTATAAAGGCATATATTTATTAAATCGTAACTTTAATTTTTGATAATTAATTTATATTTTAAAATTTAATCCAATCATATAATTATACTTGTGCAACCAAACAATATATTTGTAATTATATTATGACAAACAAACATATCGTCATAATTAGAATCTATATCTATAATTGAGGGACTTACACCAGCTACGTGGCGCCCTCATTTAGCGGGAAATAAATTTTCTTGCTTTTAGGTTTTTTTCCACTTTAAAACTTAAATTAACCATTGAACCGCTTCACAAACGGAACGGTTTCTTCCCGTAACCCTTCTTGTCTTTTAATAAAGCTTATTTACTCTCTCTTTTGCATACCTATCTCTCTTCCAAAATTCTGTCTATTACTTTGCAATTTTCATCTTCCTTTTTCCTACCGTATTTCTCTCATACCTTTAACTGTGTTAATTTCTATGAACTTAACTCTATCTACCTTCTTTAGGGGTGCTATTCCCCTAATCTAATTTTATAGGTGTGGACAATCAGGGATGCCAAAACGCAATCGAAAGATTGAGGTAACGTCCAAACCTTCTTCACTAAGTATTATGTTTTTTCCACAATTCATATCTGGTGCTGTAAAAATTCTGGAAAACTATAATCTTTTCCCTTATTAATAACTAAGTATCTAAAGATTCTAAAACACTTGCAGAAATTCAAAGATTCTTCATTACTACAATTTTTTTTTTACAATTGATACTACTTGTGTCTCTAATGTTGAGTACAATAATATTGTATTACTGCTAAAAAAAATACCCGAATAAAGTTCGACAACAATGTTTTTAAATGTGGATTATATATATAGATTCTTGCTACATTAGTATTGTTATATTTGTCATGCTCAACTTCTTTGTGTTCTGGTTGAAGAGTGACGTATGCATTTAATACTGCAATAAAAGCCTCTTACTCTTCTTCTTTCTCTTCCTACTAAACTCACGCCTTCGACAATAATATCTATAAATATTTTGCCTTCCATGATTGCACTTGATAACAACTGAAAGAATTATGTTATCTATTGACAAAATAAGGATAAAATAGACGTCACGCCTTCAACAACAATATCTAAAGATGAGGTCACACCTTAAACAACAATATCTATAAATATTGTTTACATATAGTTTAGTGTTATGGAGTTTAGACTATATTAGATTCTTATTATAACCTTGGATTTTGGTATTGCATAGAAGTTCAACTTCCTGGTACTTTTCTTCCTCTAAAACGAGTATTCGACAATAATATCTATAAAGGTTGTTTATATACAATTTAGTGATATGAAGTTTAAACTATATTAGATCTTCATTGTAGCCTCAGAAATTGATATTGGATATATAGTCGTTCAACTTCCTCCTCTGTTAGCATTTCTTTCTCTACACTTTGTTGTTCTGCTTGAAGCAGCATATGCATTAAATATAGCGGCTACATTGTAATGATCAGGAATATTTTTTCCTAGCAAAATTGTAATGCCTTATTATTTTTGTTTGATTAAATATAGATTGTTGCTATATTAGCTTTGTTATATTTTTCCTGCTCTACTCTTTTCTGTTCTGCTTGAAAATATTAACATACATAATGATCAGGAAAAAATACTTTCTTCCCAGCAATATTATAAAAATCATGAAATCTATTTTCCAACTTTCTCATATCTTGATATTTCGCCGTATCTAAGTGCTTTTTCTCTTCCTTCAAAAGACACCCCTCTTTTTACTCTTTGAAAAGTCATGCCACTCTCTTCATCTTAATTGTAACCAATCGTTGTTTACTCTTCCTCATATTTCATCCTCGCCACAACAAATCCCATCTTTCTTTCTCATTTTTTGTTTGCTGCATTATGATATGTTTCTACCTCATATTTTTCTTATATTTAGCTCTTCTTCCTTTAAAAAGTACAACTCTTTTTACTCATTCAAAAGTTACGTCTCTTACTCTTCTTCTTTCTCTTCCTACTAAACTCATGCCTTCGACAACAATATCTATAAATGTTGTCTTCTCATGCTTGCAGTGGATAACAACTGCATAATCCGGATATCTATAGACAAAATAAGGAAAAGACAGAGTGACGCCTTCAACAACAATATCTATAAAATAAAGTCACACCTTAACCAACAATATCTATAAATGTTGTTTATATATAATTTAGTGTTATGGAGTTTAGACTATATTAGTTTCTTTTTTATAGCCTTAGATTTGGTATTGCAAAATAATTCAACTTCCTGTTACTTCTCTTCCTCCAAAACTGACACATTCGACAATAATATCTATAAATGTTGTTTATATAAAATTTAGTATTATGAAGTTTAGAGTATATTAGATTTTCATCGTAAAAGCATCATAAAGGAAGAAGGTTTGGAATAGTGACGTGATGTCCTAATTTTCCTCCCACTCGCCAGACCTAAAAAATTTCTTCTTTTTTCTTGGAGGAGAAGAAGAACACAAAATTCATTAGCGGAGAAGTCTGACTACGATTATCCAGAAAGGTCCTATTATCTCAGGGGTAATGCAATATAGATGGAAACATTGATCATACAAGCTCATCAAAGTGAGTTAGCAAAAAATTTACTCTTTTTTCCTTCTAATTACAACTTTTGTTAGTCAATGTGGAAGATTTTGTTTCCAATGTTAACGTGATGATTTAAATGTGGTTCTGTAATACAAGTAGAAAACGTGATGTGTTTAATGTAAATCGATTCGTTAGTTCTAGATTTCTCTACTAAAGGATGCAGATTATTCTGTGTGCATATTAGTAGACATTGATATTTTTTTTTATCAAACATCATGTCTTCATATACTAACGAGGGCCTGGATTAGTCATATGAAGGTTAGCTTGATGATTGTTCTAACGATTCTAGGATGCATTTGAGCCCTAAGGATGTGTACGTCTCTATTAGCTTTTTTCCCATTAGATTGTTCATCTTTTTTAGAAAGAATATTTATCTTCTTTAGAATGAAGGATCATTCTAACCAACTATTTTGTTGAAAAACAGTAAATTGCATGAGGCCTAACTAATATTTTGAGCTTCTTTATTACGCTAGGTAGCAAACATATATGCAGACTCCTCTGAAGATTGCCTACTTTGTTGTCTATCCATTTGCTTTTACTAAACCATGCAGTGCTCATCGAGTTATGACTCTGAAAGATGTTAAAAAATTGATATGCACCCCGCAATCAAAGTCAAGGCAAAATAGTAGATCATTAAAATTTGCACATCCAAATCAGCATTCTCGGGCAAGCTTGGCATTCGATCGGAAGACCAAAGTACAGACTGAAGGAGGAAAGCATTAATATTATGAAGACCAAAGGTTAATTCGTTTATTGTTGCCTATTCATTTTTGGAGGCTATGCTGCTCCATTTCTTTTGTGTTTGTGACAGGTTACCAGAAGAGACGTATCCAGAGCATAACAGAGATGGAAATGAAGTCTACTCCATTTGAATAGAGAGCTGATTGTTCCATTTAGATTTGGGGATGTAAAGCGTTGTCCTACTTTTTACTCTAAAGGATCGTTTACTTCTTCTTGGACTTGTGATGTTGTGGTGATGAATCTTGCTAATATAATATTCATATATTTTACTTTCATTTTCTTTTTTCCTTTTCCAACTTTTTGCAGGCCTCCAAGTATATATAAATTCATATAAGCTTGTGATATTAATTAGTAAGAAAGTGCAGAAAGATTCTTCTATGTTCATATTCTATTTTCTTTTCTCTTTTTTGAGACATGGAATATCTTTTTCTACATTGTATTGTCTTTATAAATGTTCATAGAAATTTATTTCATTCATTGTTCGTAGAACATTTTACTATGTAGAGCAACAGTACCTTCTGTAGAGGATTTAACCAAATCTCACAACGGTTCTCTTCTCTTGTATTGATGGAATTATATGCTTTGAGTTCATCTAAAGGTTCGTCATATAATAAAGCCGGCAATGAATTACAAGAGAGAGAGAAAGAGAAATTAATATTTTCCTGAAAAGTTCTGAGGGAAGAGGGCTATAGAATGTGAAAGCAACAATTTAGTTTTAGAAGGGATGTATTACTACTTTCATACCTTTATGAGCATAAAGCTCTCATGTTTAAGAAATTGACGTAATAATTTTTCTGCTTTAAGGATTTTTGGGAATTAAAAAAAGTTTATTTTGTTAAGCGTTTTTCAATTTTGAATGATCTATTTAGGAGTTATAAGGTGCGTGAATAAACTTTGAACTGTGATATTGTGAGTTTTGAAACTCGAAAAATTATTTATATTTGTATATAATGCATGAAAATTATATCTCTTCTATCTTTAACTTTACTTTTTTTTAAAAATCTCTTCTATCTCAATTAAGTTTATAACTAACATTTTTGGTATATTTACTATCTTCTTTTATAACCGCGCGAAGCGCGGACAACTTAACTAGTATTAATATAAAACAGGGGAAAAGGAAGGTGATGTGGCTTTCTCATATAGTAGAATTCCCACTTATCTTTTTTTTTTCTTCTTCTTCTTTTTTTTTTTTGCCTTTTTTGTTTATTTATTTTACATTTTAAAAGTTTATAAGTGTCTGAAAATGCATTAAAAGGCGCGGCTTTACAAAACAACCGTTTTGATACCTTTTAGCTTCTAAAAAAATGGTTGACCTTTCATTCACCAAAAAACAGTTCATTTTTTAGAATTATTAATATGTTTCCTTGGTCCGAGAACGTCTAGGTACGCAAAGCACTCTGACCAAATTTTGTGACAATGAAGGAGAATGGAAGAGGAAGATAGGTGTTGATGGATCTTCTGAGTACCATACTTTTACATATTGTATTTTTTTTTCTCCTACCGGTTTCTTATTGTTCACTTGACTTGATGATTTCTATGAGTATTTCTTCAATCAAATTTATTTCGAACTGCATCTTTTTTCTCATGCTATTTAAATCTCATTAAATTTCTCCTATAAATTTTATAGAGAAAATTAATACTACCCCAAGAAATTGATTTTACCAACAGAATTTGCCGCTGATGATTTTAGCTTGGAAATATTAGCGAAGACTTAGCCGATTAGTGATGAAATTAGGCATTTAGCGACAAAATTCCTATTTACTCTGGAATTACGTAGTTTTGTGATACAAATTAATGTTCTATCACTAATCTCATTTTTTTTATAGTGACGGAAGGGAGAGGTTGATGAAAAATGCAAAACAATTAAAGAAGCAGCAAACCATTAGAAGCACAGTACTCCCCCTTCCACTGCTATCACCGAGATATAGTCGTCTTAAGTCTAGGTTCCTTTCATGAAAGATTAAAATTTGAATGAGAAAAATAAAGTAGGGTTTTTAGCACTACTTATTTTCAAGTGAAGTATCTGCTTTTTCCAAATATTTCTTAGATTGAATTAAGATGTCCTAATATGTTTCAAATGAATAACTATAATATTGCATAATATTATAAGTTTTGATGTATTAGACATATGCATTATAATTTGGTTGTAATCTTCTGTTATTAGAAAACTATTTCATAAATTAACTCACATTTTTATAGACCGCGCAATACGCGAATAACTTTACTAGTACTATATAATTACTAGAATAATAATTATACCAATTATAATTACTTGGTGCCTTTCAAACATACCCTAATGACACCGCAATTGGTTTGGAGAAAGGGCAAAAAAAAAAAAAAAAAAAAAAAAAAAAAAAAAAAAAATGGGAACGCGAAGGGCAAAATGACCCGAAATTACTAGAATGTCCTACTAGGAGCTAGGGTTTGTTACCTCCTTATAAATAGAAGAGGAGGCCACAGTTTCATCGTGAAAGCGGCGAAAGTCGAGAGATAAAGAGTGAGCCATCGGTGAAATTTGAGCAAGGATGAGGGCCAAGGTCTGTTATCTCATTCCAAATCCTAGATAATGCATCTTCTTAACTCGACATTTCATGTTTCTGTTTCGTGAATCTAAAATGTTTTCGAATATATGTCGTGTTTGAATTCATGTTTTAGTTTAAACTAGCAATTGATATATGATACTAATGTTCTGCATTTGTGTTGTTGTGATGGATTAAATTGTCTGTTGCTTTCGTTGATTCCGTTATATACCTTAATTTTAAACAGGATACTTATTACTTGTCCTACTTCTAACCCATCGTACTTTCCTTGAGCCACTTTTGAACTCATTATTTGATTCTGTGTCCCCTTGAAAGAAACTCTATGATTTCTCTTTCTTTTTCTTTATAAGGCGGTCAATGGAATCATGAATCTAATCCTACGCACAGAGAATCATTACCTCACTTAGATATTATGTTTAGCATGCTAATATATAAGAAACAGGATTATGCCATCCTCACCAACTTCATGTCATAGAAAACCATATATCTGGGAATTCCTGCACTATGCTATATATGTATTCATATAGCTGAACCCATCATGTTTGGAATGGAGACATAGTTGTTGTTAGCTATATATGCCAGGAGAAAAAAAGATTGTTAACTTCAGCGAGTTTTAATTTGGAAAACACTGCTTTTTTATTTCTCTACAGCTTGCTGATTCTAATTGGAGCCCTGGAAGGCCCTCTTCAGTGTCTTCTCTTTTTTATTTGCTCTGCAGTGTTACAACTGTTATGTTTGCTTCAGATTTTTACTGCATCAAATGACACTATGGGCAGTTGGAATGGTAGAAGGCTTTTTCTAGTCTACCTGAGTATGATATGAGATGCACTTATGGTGTTGTAGATTGCAATTGGAAGAGGAATAAAATTAGACCGACTATTCAAATTAGTGCTCTTTAATAGACTTTGTGTTTTAGCAACATTACCATGGCATGTATATGGTCGGCCAGTGTTATCTTCAGTTTTGAGATTTCTTCTTGTTCTTTTGTAATGTTGTCACTCTAAATTCCCTTATCTGTGCACCCAAGTGTGTGGGCTAGTGGTCAATCATGCGGGGGCAAAAACATTAGGTGCCTTGGTGGATAATGGTACTCGGTACCGGTCTTGTTGGAGTGGGAGGTAGTAGGTACCTCAGGGAATTAGTTGAGGTGCGTAAGCTGCCTTGACACGACGGTAATAAAAAAGTTCTCTTTTGTGTGATGGACTATCTGTCATGAACATGTATTTGTTTAGACAGACTACTATTTGATGTGTGCTGTGCCTTTTGGGATCTGTTGGGGTAAGAAACATTCTGAAGTCCTGGTTTTGCCATAAAGGAAGTATTTGATGGGCTTTACATGGGAAAAAGGGAAAGAATGTACTGGTTTAGTGTGAGGCCCTGGAATGGAGTAGAGAATGTCTGGATTCAGAAGTTGTATTGAGAATGTAGCCAAAGAGATTAAGAGGAAAGCTGAGACAATGGGTTTTCTTTAGCCTCTTCAGATAACAATTAAGTTTACCAAAAGGGAGTTTGCTAAGATTTTTGTTCTCTCTCATCACTGTAACTGCAGCAGCCTCTAATGTTTTCTTTTTTAAATGCAGTGGAAGAAGAAGCGTATGAGGAGACTGAAGAGGAAGCGCAGAAAGATGAGACAGAGATCTAAGTAGAGCAGGGTTCTAGATGCCTAGGATGCTTTCTTGGGTGAATCTGCCTTTTCCTCTTGCTGTCTATCTCTGTGGCAGCTCCAGAGAATGGTGATTGTCTGTTGTTTGAAGCTGCATTAATTAATCTACTATGTTCTATGAAGGAGCTTAGTTTAGTTCCTCTATTACTTGTAAGGATGTTGATTTGTGTTTTTGGGTTTTGTCCACCTAAGATATATGGGAGATTATCCTGAACGTATTCTCTATTAATCTGACTTTCTTGAGAGGATTCCTGTTTGCCTGGGTTGCATCTCATTTGATTATAGTTTGTCTGAATGTTATGCTTCGAGTGATGTTCTTGAGATGAACTGCCATCTGTTTCTGGTGCGAGTTGCTAGGGTTAAACATGAGTCGAAGCCTCAAGATGCATGTTTCTGGTGCGAGTTGCTAGGGTTAAACATGAGTCGAAGCCTCAAGATGCATGGCAGAAGTGAAACACTGGCAGGAACTGAGTCTAGCTCGTGCTTGCTTGGTGTTCAAGAATACGAAAGCATGAAAAAGGTATAGAGGCTTTGGATCAAGTCTCCACAAGAAGCTACTACTGAATGCTGAAACCATATAGCAGGTCATCATGAAAATAGTTAAAACCAGTGTACATACCACTTAAATGTGCTTTCAACTGAAATAACTGTCATTGCATTTTTACAGGAACAAATAAGAAGTATAGTAATGTTGAGTAGAACTTCCAAATGCCAAGATGAAAAGAAAAATTAAACAAATACATGTCGGTTCATTATGCTGAGTTGTTGCAAGTTTTTAGCCGGAAATCAATGCATGCTTTAAGAGGATTACATGGTGTAAATGAATATGAATATGAAGACCGGAGAAGAGGGGGAAATCCCATCCACAAGCTGGTGTTAGATACCACCTAGTGGAAGGTGAGAAGCGGCCAACTATGGTAAGTGTCATGGGCGCGTTTTTGGTCATTCAAAACTCACACCCGTGCGACTTATTTTCAGCAAGTTTGGCTTAAACGAAATTTTGGCAGCAATTCAATAAGAACACAAGCATATACGGGAAAAATCCCAACCTTTGCATTAATGTGGAAAATAT